GCGCACCAGACTAGCTGGTGCGATCATGCGTTTTGTGCAGTTCAGCCCATCGAACGATTGCCTATTGATATTTTCCACTGCTTTGTACTTGTCTATGCAAAAATAGTTCAAACATTGGAAAACAGTTAAAAATTTCACGCACCAGCGCATGAAAGCTGGATTCGAAACCTTGGAGGGTGAATATCTCTATCCTGGGTTAATAGTTTACCCGCCAAAATTTTCACGAGGCTGTAGGTGATACTCAACAGCGCGAGAACGCTGAATTAGAATAGGCAAGGTCGAGCGTAGGCAGGGGTCATTGCCCTAAAATTTCAGCTCCCTAGACCCCGCGGTTTCCGAGATAACAATTTACCCGTAAAAAAATTTCACTAACCCATAGATGATACCCGAGAATGCGGGAGCGCTGTGCAGTGGATCATTATCCCAAAATTTCAGCCTCTTAGACTCCGTGGTTCCCGAGATATTTATTTGCCCGTAAAAACTTTCATGAGGCTGTACGTGTTACCCACGGGTACGGGAAGGCTGAATTTGAATGGGCAAGGTTGAGCGTGGGCAGGGGGTCATTACCCTAAAATTTCAGTCTCATAGTCTCCGTGGTTCCCGAGATATTAATTTACCCGTAAAAAACTTCCACAGGGCCAGACGTGTTACCCGCGGGTACGGGGAAGCTGAATTTAAAATTTTCGGGATCACAAGTGGGTGAGGAATGTTCCCCTAAATTTTCAGCTTGCTAGCTTCTGTGGTTCCCGAGTTGAAAGTTGCGGACAAGTTGCTGCGGACACACACACACACACAAACACACACACACAGACAACCCCGTGACAATATGCGTTTTGTACTGCTGTTACACAGCACAAAATGCATAAAAACGAAATGCGCATAAGGTGGTGGTGAAGATGCAGAGGGCTCAAAACAGGAAACCTCATCCTTTCATCACCACCTTGTACGCATTTCATCGTATTTCATGTAACCTTGGCACATGCGCAGCACAAAAAGCTGGGAAGAATTTCGTTTTCAGCAGATATGCACGATGATAGCAAAAAGAATCGAAATCACAAAGTTCTGTGGGCATCAATGAGAAACTTCGATGACACTGAGGACGCAAACTGTATGCTCCTGAACTACACCATACCCTGCTACATGACATAATATGCGTGCAACATTTCTCCAAAAGCCGATTTGATGGTCAACTTTTCATCACAGATATCATTCAGCAACTGGCATACATGATGCTTGCTCATCAACCAAAACATACATATTCGTAGAACCGCAGATCATTCGTGGCCACAAAAACATGTAAGCAAACCTCGGCAAGACGGACGTCAAGTTTACATTCGCGGCGCAACACTTTCTCCAGTTCATATTTCACTTCCTCCAATCTGTTGTCCATCTCCTGCTTTTGTATATCCATTCTTGCAAGCATATCTTCCTGAGCTAATACCTAAAAAACAGCTGATAAAAAAAAAAAGTCTCTACTAAACACTATAAATAAAAGCCGAAATTTGTTCCCCAGTGCCATTTTCATGCGCACTTTGAAAAAGTTACAC